TGCGCGGCCCCCCTGTATCGACAGGACGACCATAGGAAAATGACCGTGGGGGTCGCTACGTGATACAAGGATTGACATCGTGAAATGTGAATACAAACATAACGGTAAACTCGAAAAATATATTTGTTCCCTATACAGGACCGACGCACTGCAGTCCCAACCGAAACCGCGTCCTACCGCCTGGTAGGTTGAAACTCTACAAATAAAAAAACAATCCTACCATACAACTTCCGTTTTGTTTAAGATCTGCATGCTGCGCGATCGCCTCTATCTTCCTGCAATATGGCCGACCCTAATTTTGTTTGACGATGTCAATCCTTCCAGATCGTTACTTTGCAACCCATCTCGTCAGTCTTCGATGCTAAGCAAAAATGCCAGTTTGCGCCGGAGCGTCAAGCGGCGAAGTTCCTCCAAACCCAAATTAAATTTTTGAACTTCTTTACGGGTGAATACACGTAAAATATTTGTTCCATATATGCAGGACCGTCGACGAATCCATCTCGCGGCGCGTCCTGGTAGGTTCCGGTTAGAAAACCTACTATGAAATTTCCAGAACCTTGTACATTTGTAGGTTTGCAACCTACCAGGACGCGCGCCGAGTTGGACTCGTCGACGGTCCAGATATTTTAGGAGTATCACCCGTTAACCAGAACTTCAATCGTGTCATTTGTCATATATAAAATTGACTGACAATTGGCTGTGGTAAGAAATTTGGTCAAAATTATAAATGCCGGGCCGCCCTGTACTGGAATTTCTGCCAATAAAAACTGAAAATGGGACACAAATATGGGACAGCACGATTTTCCCGATTTTTTTCAGAGATTTGACTTCAGTTCACCCCAATTTGGTTTCATACCATCCAGCAATTATACTGACTAATTGTTTTTTGGGTCAAAAATTTAAAGCAATCTGTCAATGTGCGTTCAGAAATTTTCACATCTGAAAATGGGCAGAGTTTTGACAATACAACTTTTCGTTTCCTTAAGATTTCGTGCTGATGACTTCCTACCGAACCCGAATCAAACTTCCTAGCACCTCAATCGGTCCTTTTGCATCTATAGTTGACTGACTAAATTGGTTGCGGGTCAGAAATTCGGCGCCAAAACTTGTAAAATTTCGGCCCTGGATAAATTCAGCTTCAAAAACCTGAAAAATGGACAGAGCATGGACAGTATGGATTTCAATTTTTTTCGAGATTTTGACTTCATACCCCAATTTGGTTTCATACCATCATCAATTAACTGACTAATTTGTTGTGGGCAAAATTTCAAGCAATCTTCAAATGTGCGTTCAGAAATTTCACATATGAAAATGGGACAGAGTTTTGAAATAACAACTTTTCGTTTTCTTAAGATTTCTGCTGTGAGCTTTCCTCCGACCCGAATCCAATCTCCATCACCTCAATCGGCATTTGGCATCTATAGTTGACTGGACTAATTGGTTGCGGGTCAGAAATTCCCGGCCAAAACTGTAAAATTACGGCCCTGGAAGTTTTCAGCCTTCAAAAACTGAAAAATGGGACAGAGCATGGGACAGTATGATTTTCCAATTTTTTTTCGAGATTTTTGACTTCCAGTACCCCATTTGGTTTCACACCATCAGCAATTACTGACTAATTGGGTTTGTGGCAAATATTCAAGCCAATCTGTCAAAATGTGTGTTTCAGAAATTTTCACCATCTGAAAATGGGACAGAGTTTTGAAAAATACAACTTTTCGTTTTCTTAAGATTTCTGCTGTGAGCTTCCTCCGACCGAATCAAACTTCCAGCACCTCAATCGTGTCATTTGGCATCTATAGTTGACTGCCTAATTGGTTTGCGGGTCAGAATTTCGCCAAACTGTAAAATTTTCGGCCCTGGACGTTTCAGCTTCAAAAACAGAAAAGGGACATAGTATGGACAGTAAGATTTTCCAATTTTTTTCGAGATTTTTGACTTCCATACACCAATTTGGTTTCATACCATCAATCAATTAACTACTAATTGGTTGTGGGCAGAAAAAATTCAAACAAATACTGTCAAATGTGTTTCAGAATTCACATCTGAAAATGGACAAGTTTGAAAAATACACTTTTCGTTTTCTAAGATTTCTGCTGTGAGCTTCCTCCGACCCGAATCAAACTTCCAGCACCTCAATCGTGTCATTTGGCATCTATAGTTGACTGACTATTTGGTTGCGGGTCAGAAATTCCGGGCCAAAACTGTAAAATTTCGGCCCTGGAAGTTTCAGCTTCGAAAAACTGGAAAATGGACAGAGTATGGACAGTATGATTTCCAATTTTTTTCGAGATTTTTGACTTCCAGTACCCAATTTGGTTTATACCATCATCAAATAACTGACTAATTGGTTTGTGGGCAAAAATATTTCAAGCAAATCTGTCAAATGGTGCGTTCAGAATTTGTTTCAACATCTGAAAAATGGGACAGAAATTTTGAAAATACAACTTTTCGTTTTCATAAAATTTTCAGCTGTGAGCATCCTCCCGACCCGAATCAAACTACCAGCACCTCAAGCGTGTCATTTGCATCTATAGTTTACTGACTAATTGGTTGCGGGTGGAGAAATTCGGCCCAAACTGTAAAATTTCGTCCCTGGAAGTTTCATGCTTCAAACTGAAAATGGGACATAGTATGGGACCGTATGATTTTCCCAATTTTTTTCCGAGATTTTGACTTCCATACCCAAGTTGGGTTTCATACCGATCATCAATTAACTGACTAAGTGGTTTGTGGGCAAAAATTTCAAGCATTTCTGTCAAATGTGCGTTCAGAAATTTTCACAACTGAAATATGGACAGAGTTTTGAAAATACAACTTTTCGTTTTCGTGTAAGATTTCTGCTTGTGAGCTTCCTCCGAAAACCCCCCCGAAATCAAACTTCCAGCACCTCAATCGTGTCATTTGGCAATCTATAGTTTGACTGACTATTGGTTGCGGGTCAGAAAATCGCCAAAACGTAAAATTTCGGCCCTGGAAGTTTCAGCTTCAAAAACTGAAAATGGGACAGAGTATGATGACAGTATTGATTTTCCAATTTTTTCGAGATTTTTTGACTTTCCAGTACCCCAATTTGGTTTCATACCATCTTCAATTAACGGGAGTCTAATTGGGATTGTGGGCAAAAATTTCAAGCAATCTGTCAATGTGTGTACAGCAATTTCACATCTGAAAATGGGACAGAGTTTTGAAAATACAACTTCGTTTTCCTTCTTAAATTTCTGCTGTGAGCTTTCCCTCCGACCCGAATCCAAACTTGCAGCACCTCAATCGTGTCATTTGGCATCAAAGTTGACGCGACTAATTGGTTGCGGGTCAGAAATTCCGGCCAAAACTGTAAAATTTCGCCCTGGAAGTTTCAGCTTCAAAAACTGAAAAGATGGGAACAGATATGACGTATGATTTTCCAATTTTTTTTCGAGATTTTGAATTCCAGTATCCCCAATTTGGTTTCAACACCGGATCATCAATAACTGACTAATTGGTTTGTGGCAAATATTTCAAGCAATCGTCAAATGTGTTTAAGAACTTTTCACATCTGAAAATGGGACGAGTTTTGAAAATACAACTTTCGTTTTCTTAAGATTTCTGCTGTGAGCTTCCTCCGACCCGAATCAAAACTTCCCAGCACCTCAATCGTGTCATTTGGCATCTATAGTTGACTGACAAATTGGTTCGGGCTCAAAATTCGGCCCACAACTGTAAATTTCGGCCCTGGAAGTTTCAGCTTAAAAACTGAAAATGGGACAGCGTAAGGGACAGTATGATTTTCCAATTTTTTCGAGATTTTTGAGCTTCCAGTACCCCAATTTGGTTCATACCATCACAATTAACTACTAATTGGTTTGTGGGGCAAAAATTTCATACAAACTTCAAATGTGTTGTTCAGAAATTTTCACATCTGAAAATGGACAGAGTTTTGAAAATACAACTTTTCGTTTTCTTAAGATTTCTGCTGTGAGCTTTCCTCCGACCCGAATCAAACTTCCAGTCACCTCAATCTGTCCATTTGGCATCTATATTTTGACGACTAATTGTTGCCGGGTCAGAAATTTTCGGCCAAAAACTGTAAATTTTCGGCCCTGGAAGTTCAGCTTCAAAAACTGAAAAGGGACAGAGTATGGGACAGTATGATTTTCCAATTTTTTTCGAGATTTTGACTTCCAGTACCCCAATATTTGGTTTCATACCATCATCATTAACTGACTAATTGGTTTGGTGGCAAAAATTTCCAAGCAATCGTCAATGGTGCGTTCGCGAAATTTTCACATCTTGAAAATGGGACAGAGTTTTGGAATACAACTTTTCGTTTCTTAAAGATTTCTGCTGTGACTTCCTCGACCCGATCAACTTCCACACCTCAATCGTGTCATTGGCTCTATAGTTTGACTGACTAATTGGTTGCGGGTCAGAATTTCAGCCAAAACTGTATAATTTCGGCCTGAAGTTCAGCCTCAGAACTGAAAATGGGGACAGAGTATGGGAATTTATGATTTTCCAATTTTTTTACCGAGATTTTGACTTCGCAGTAACCCCAATTTGGTTTCATACCATCATCAATTACCTGACTAATTGGTTTGTGGGCAAAAAATTTCATCCAATCTGTCAAATGTTGCGCTCAGAAATTTTCACATCTGAAAATGACAGAGTTTTGAAAAGTACAAATTTTGTTCGTTAAAATTTCTGCTGCGGAGCTTCCTCGACCCAAATCAAACTCCAGCACCTCAATCCGTGTCATTTGTATATATAGTTGACTGTATAATTTGTTTGCGGTCAGAAATTTTTGTCAAAACTGTAAAATGTGGTGCTTTGCAGAAAAAATTAAAAATAGATTTTGCTCATGGGGGAATTCTTAAACATTTGCATTGCCTTTATTATCAGATTACCGATCTCGTCATTTTGTTGTAATGCATGGCATGGCCAATACAAAGGCATGATGGGCGACGGCATGTATAGCTTTGTTGTTCGGCGAATTTTCTTTAAAATAAATTTACGTATTTTGTTAATTAATAATTAGTATTAATGTTTTAATCAATGTGTATTATAGTGCAATATTCATACTTAGCTCCTAGGACAAAAATATCGATTTAAAAAATATTCTTTAAGTTAAAACAATCAATGCAATGACAAATGACAATCAATTTATGAAGTCACTAATTTTTTGATTTTTTCCATTTTTAAATATCTAAATATAAGTAATAGTATAAATCGGAAAAATTAAAATCAAACATGAACAATTAACTAAAATAATCAAAATTGATCCTTCATTTGCATTCACCGTGAAAATATTTTCGTCACAATTTAATACCCATTAGATTGCTGGGAGCAGGATTACTGTTTTATAGCTAAAATATCGATGAACCAGTTATTAATCATTGAATCTTTATAATTGGACATATAACTGTAGTCAAAATTAAACAACACTGCTACGTGGGACACTAATAATGCAACATTGAGCTAGGAATCAAACATAAACTGCCGCAACTTCCAACCAGCCCAATAACATTAACAGATACAATCGCAACAAGAGGCATATACGACATCATGATATAGCGGATGATGCCGCTTGAGTTCATCATAAGCACTACCAGAGTAAATATTTGGGCTGAGTCGTCTTTGTAGACAGTTCCTATAGCTGTTGTTATTATTACGTTGTTTGTGACGTCTATTATTCCTGGAAACATGTAACTATATTGTAATGATATTATAGCGGAACGATTTAAAATAGACGGTTAAAATATTTGATCATAATGCTAAAATGATAGAATTAGAGGGCCTCACCGCTCACGGTATATCCATTCGAAACGCTAGGAACATTGAACGTTACTAGATTTAATTTTGTAGATCTATATTTTTATCAGTTCATCTGTTATCATTTCAATCGTATTCGTTGTTCCCTGTTCTCAAGAAATAAAGTAGCCACACTCTATATCCAGATTTAACTAGATTGACCTACTGTTAATCTAGTTCCATAACTTCTGCAAATTCGTCATACCGTATTCGACCACTGACCAGTGTGACCACTTTCCTTCTTTCCACTTAAAGACCCTTTTTCCACTCTACAACAGACCGTATAATCGATTAAAAGTTGTCCAGAAACGATTGGGTTGATTTTTATGTGTATTTTGATTGGTATAAACGATCATTTACTTGCAGGGACAAAAGGAAATCGCGGCATGTACGGAATTGAATCGCGATTTTTCCCATTATTTGCGACAAATTTTATGTATAGTTTAATGTTTCAGTTTAGTCTGTTAAAATTGGCGGTATCACGATTTTTGGCCAAAATAATCGCGAAATCCTTTTGTCCCTGTTTACTTGTGGAACGTGGTATGAACCACAATTTACCTATAGCGATACCGAGCATGTTGTTACCCCATCTGTTAGGATAGAGAGCTGGTACTGAATGACTGTAAAACAGAGGGAACATGAAGGCGATAAGAAGGTAGGCAGCTACGCCCAGTGTCGTAGTGATAACGGCTGTTCGTTTAAATCCAAGCCTTGCGACTATCTTCCCTGCTGGCCGACCACCTGAGAAGGTTTAAAATTTAAATTGTTTGTTTGGATTCTCGTGCTGGGGAGGCTATTCTGTAGTATTTTTATCGATCAAATAACTTCATATTTTTGTTAGTAAACGTATACTCCAGTAGCAGGGAGGTGTTGAGTGTGCACTTCGATGTATAGAGTTTTTTGCTATTGAATCGGGTTAAATAGGTCATTGGTAACTCAAATCACCGAGGGGGGAATTTTGTGTCGCTAGTCCCAACCCTGTGGAGCCACGCCCATATTTCATATCAGGTGCGTATATGGGAAATATGTATCTCAGCTTCTGAAGGTCTTAGAGACTCAAATTTGAGTTTAAAATGACCGCAATGACCATGTTTATATTAGTACTATGAAGGTCATGAAAGCCCAAAATGCTTATTTTTGGAAAAAATTCAGAAAAACCGATTTTCACTTGAGCGTGAGTAAAAAAATCTACTCTAGAAATTTAGTGAAAATCGAGTAAGCAGTTCAGTGTCTACAAGATTTCTAAACACAGGGTCCTCTGTTAGGTCATTCTGAATTAGAATTGATAAAGTAAGCAAATTCTATAAGTAGTTTCAACCCTGTGGAGCCACGCCCATATTTCATATCAGGTGCGTATATGGGAAATATGTATCTCAGCTTCTGAAGGTCTTAGAGACTCAAACTTGAGTTTAAAATGACTGCAATGACCATGTTTATATTAGTACTATGAAGGTCATGAAAGCCCAAAATGCTTATTTTTGGAAAAAATTCAGAAAAACTGATTTTCACAAGCAAAAAATCTACTCTAGAAGTTAAGTGAAATCGAGTGTGAAGTTCAGTGTCTACAACGTTTCTAAACATAGGATCCTTTGTAAGATCATTCTGAATCAGAATTGATAAGGTATGCAAATTCTATTAGTAGTTTTAACCCTAGGGTGCAAAACTCCTAAATTACCCCCAGGCGCAAATATATGACTTTTCTATCTCGGCTTCTGAACGTTGTAGGGGCCTCTCTTTGAGCTCAAACTAACTACAATGGCCACATTTATATACCGACTATAAAGCACAAAGCAACTTAGGGTCTATACAGCTTAGTTTTTAGAAATTCATTAAAAACTTTTTTAACCTTCATGCATCATCTCTAGTCTCTACCCAGCTACCGCCAGTGCGTTATGATTTTAGATCTTTCTAGCAACCTCTGATATGAATGCTACCTCTTCCTCTATCCAGCTACTATACCACCAATTCCAGCTGTTTTCACCTACTTCGGCTACTATCTCTTTAGCTACCACCAAGGTTCCTCCAACTTCTGCTATTTCTAGCAATCTTAGCTTAGGTTAGTGGACTACTTCTTGCCCTATCTAGCAACCATCAGAAAAATGTCCTCTTCCTTAATGAGCTGGAAATTGTTGGATGCAGCGGAGGTAGCACTCATATCAGAGGTTATAAGATCTAAAATTATAACGTATGGTGGTAGCTGGGTAGAGTTGACCTGGAGTTAGCAGAAGGCAGCTAGAAGTAGATTCTGCTACATGAGGTTGGATTCAAGTTGATTAGCCATAAAAGCCGAGCAGTACTGGAGAGAGCCCCAGAGAGGGAGCTGAAGGCAGCCTTCTGAAACTGAGTATTTTCGCAGTTATACCAAAATTAAAGTTAGGTGGTATGTGCTGCTCCATAAATGTTATCCTAATGTGTTTATGTTGAACGTTTTACTGTGCTGCAAATATCTTTTTAGCCCGAGATATCATTATTAAGTACATGTTTGATCATATTACTATTTTATGATGCATGAAGGTTAAAAGTAGTAGTAAACCCGCGATGGGGTGGCATGTGCCTCAATAAAAATATTACAATCTTTTATTATTATATCAATTTATCATTAAATATTTCAAAAATATCAATAACGTATGGTTGATCCTTCACACTTGGTAAAATATATAAAAATAAAGTTAATCTACACTAAAGAATAAATAATCTATATTATATAAATCAACAATATTAACTCCCCATCTTCTTGTAGTCATTTATCAAAGCGGTAGAAATCTAAGTAATTTTAGTACGCGGTGCGCAAAACAGTTTTTAATGAAGTTCTATAAACTAAGCTATATAGACCCTATGTTGCTATATAGTCGGTATATAAATGTGGCCATTGTAGTTAGTTTGAGCTCAAAGAGAGGCCCCTACAACGTTCAGAAGCCGAGATAAAAAAGTCATATATTTGCGCCTGGGGGTAATTTAGGAGTTTTGCACCCTAGGGTTAAAACTACTAATAGAATTTGCATACCTTATCAATTCTGATTCAAAATGATCTTACAAAGGATCCTATGTTTAGAAACGTTGTAGACACTGAACTTCACACTCGATTTCACTTAATTTCTTCTAGAGTAGATTTTTTGCTTGTGAAAATCAGTTTTTCTGAATTTTTTCCAAAAATAAGCATTTTGGGCTTTCATGACCTTCATAGTACTAATATAAACATGGTCATTGCAGTCATTTTAAACTCAAGTTTGAGTCTCTAAGACCTTCAGAAGCTGAGATACATATTTCCCATATACGCACCTGATATGAAATATGGGCGTGGCTCCACAGGGTTGGGACTAGCGACACAAAATTCCCCCCTCGGTGATTTGAGTTACCAATGACCTATTTAACCCGATTCAATAGCAAAAAACTCTATACATCGAAGTGCACACTCAACACCTCCCTGCTACTGGAGTAGTAGGAATAAATAATTAAATGATAAATAAAATTAAAAATAATAAATAAAAATGTTAAATATTTAAATACATACCTATAATTTCTCCGAGTCCTACAAATATTCCAAACTGAGCCACGAACGATCTCTCCTCAAAAAGAATACCGATGTAGGCAGGGATGAGTGGGGTGTAGAGTTGAGAGTATATACCTGATTAGATAATTAGTTAATAATACTTAATTAGTTACCTGATAATCCAATTAGCAAGCAGTATATACCTGATTGTAGTAAGATAATTAGTTAATAATATGATATTTAATTAGTTACCTGATAATCCAATTAGCAAGCTATTTGAAAGTTAAACTGATAGGTCAATTAATTAAATAACTACTGAAAATGTAAACTTTAATAATTAACAAGTTCAAAAAGAAAATATAGAGCCTTGTATGTGCAGCCTTTATTAGTTTATTTGATAGTATCATCAAGCTGTATGTTGCTGTTTTAGCTGTTTAGTTTAAGAAAAGCTTCGCCTTCAGTAAAACACGGAATTGTTTTATTATTACACCTGTAGAGCACAGAGGGAGAAGTAGATAAATGTTTTTCCTCTTGAAGAGAGGTCGAAGAGACGTTTTTAGCTGCCCCAACAGGGTAAGTTCATCGTAGTCTATTAGAGTGATAAATTATTAGCTAGAAAGGTCAATAGTTTTAATCGACTTATGCATGTTTAAATATTTTGGCTTGTAAGGTAAAAAGTTTAAGTTTCTCCAGTTTTGACATAATTACACAAGAATTGTTCAACCAATTCTAAAATGATTCTTAGAGGAAATCAGAAAAAGACTTGCCTTCAATCTTGCTGCCCGCTGTTGATTCGGAATCTGATCGTGAGCTTGTACCAGCAGATGAAAAACTCATCTTTTTCTGTAAAGTTGGAATAGTTAAATGAATGCTCTCAACCTTCAATTGCAACCAAAAGTTTTCAAGCAAGAAACATCGCGTTTAACTTTAATTATTTGTTGTCGACAAAGTCGAAAAACCACGGATAGCAAATTAATTTCCTTGTGTTTGAAAATACTCACGCCAATGAGGGGTGCTTCTTCGTCCTCCAGCCCGGAAGGAGGGAGTGGAGGTGGGGTGACAGTGAAGCAGTAAAGGATACAACCCGTCACACACATTGCTGTTAACGCTCCTGACACCACCTGACAAACAATCATTCCAATTTAGATTACTTATACAAATGAGGAGCAAAATATGAATTGAGAAGTCAGTATTTTCATTCAATTGATAGCTATCCGATCCATATTCCAGCTCGGCTAACTGATGAGGGCAGATGAGGTAATATTTGAAATTGTCTCCTATGATATTGATACTATGAACTGTTTTTTATTATATTTTATTTTTGATAGGGACCCCGGACATGAAAATGTAGCAAATACTGACAAATTTTCAAGGTTTATGTTTTAATGTAGTTAATCATACTTTCATATTATAGTGTTGTATGTACATTGTACATTGTACTCACCATTCTGGTATTGTCATCAAGAAACTTCTTATCGCCAATACCAAAGTAAAGAACAGTGTTCCCAAACAATATACAACTCATGAATATCATCCAATGAATACCGCTATTCCTTGCCATCTTCTCCTTTGTGGAATTCTCCGAGAGAAACTGCAGACTTACCGCGCGTGAAAAAGCGTTTCCTGAAAAAAAAAAACAACGATATTGACACGATAATCATTATAGTTGGTGGTTGGGCAGTTCGGCAAAATTTGAGTGCGTTTTCCCCTACTATGACGATAGCTTTAAAAAAATAGTTGCTGTGTTATACTTATGAATGATGTGATTGCAAGGCAATGACAATATAACAATAACTCTATAAGAGCTCTATCATGTCAAGAAGTAGAAGATCCTATTCCTCACCAATTCCATTAATAGCCTGTCCAATGAATATAGTGAAGTTGTAAGGCATGAAGAGGGCTAGGGTAATAGGAATACTGCACATGGATCCCAGCACTAAACTTAGTCTCATCCCGATCAGCTGTGTGATAGTACAGATTCAACAGTTCAAACATACAAAATTCACGTATTACATAAGTATCAAAATAAACAACCCTTTCTGCATGTCAATCATATTCAATGATTTTCTAACCTTTGTAAATGGGTTTCTAATTTGTGTTGAACATTTTGAAGATGTTTCCCTGCTTATGCACTATTATACTAAATGCTAACACGATTCAATAAAGCTCTAACTATTGATAGCTTTACCTTCATGATAAAGGGTGTGACAAACGCAGCAATCACAACAAACAGGTTATTTATCATGAGTCCAGTAAAGGCTGTGTGCTTGTCTACACCGTGCCTCCCGTCCATGTCTGAAAACGCCGTCGGCTGAGAAGAAAATAGAAATGATAAAGTTTTACTGGTCGACGCTGATCAGCCTGTCATTACGCCATATTTTTATTCGGTTTATGACACTGAAACACTGAATTTTACTTACCTTATAAGGTAAGTAAAATTAAGCTCATTCTTTAATCAATGAGTTAATTGTTGAATAATTAGGTGAGTCAAGGGCTATATTCTTATATTATTAATATTCGGGATAAGATGAACAAAGATTGAATACCATGACTGCAGCGCCGCCGTAGTAACTGCTGTAGACCAACATTACAGCCACTGCGTTTATGAAAATGTTTCTGGTCCGTATTCTGTTGTTCTTGGCTAGCATGTCCTGGCTCTCCTGTAAAAATCACTTTATCAAATAAGGAGCTGGAAATTAAAACCTGAATTGATATAATGGCAACGTGGAATTGGTGATTTATATTTTAACCTTATTTGAGTTATTTCACAATCACTCTACAGACACAGTCCATTATCATTATGAACCTTCGATCTGACGTTCACTGCATCACTTATTCGCGTGCTCTTATATACACTAACAGTATAATTATATATAACGGGCCGCAATCAGACGAATACAGTTTTTAGATGTTAATGGGGACGTGATGAAATTGAAAAAACAACATTTTATGCTATTCCTACAAACACAACTAATTAACCATGATTCTAGTGTCCTGTCCAATATGTTCAGCAATTAACCAAGTCAAATTTAACAGAAAATGAGAAAGAATAATTAGTAAAGGGCAGATGAGGATGTCTTACTATTAAAACAATCATAAAACATGAGCGTTATTCGGTCATATCGTCTATCACGGTTCGACGGTTATCAACTTGTCCGTGGTTTTCTGGTGCGGGGTTCGATGTTTCACAGTATGTCAGTGGCGTAACGTTGCCTGTTTGGGGGAAAAAAGCGCCCCCAGTTGCCCCCCCCCCCCGCCGAAAAAGCGCCCCCCTGTTGGCCCCCCTTAGATGGCGCCCCCCTCACAGTGCGGGGTCATGACGGGCCCTTCGTTACGCCACCGCCGTATGTGCCATAAAAACAAATAATGCCCAAAGCTTAAAAAGGAACGAAAGTTGAAGTTATACTTATAAATGCAGAGGGTTATCTAACGGCATTATCTGTCGCTGGAGTTATTTACCAATTATATCGTTACAAACTCTCACTACTAACAATTTTGATGGTTCTGGTGTTGGCAGGTCTGTTGATCCAAAATTGAGGACAAAACGGAGAGGGAGGCAAAAGACCTGATTATAAATCAAGAGGCTTGCATATAATGAACATATTGACATGGGTGCATAGTTTAATCATTATCATGGATAATTTGGTGAGAGAAAATATAGCAGCATACCGTTGCTCTGATCCCTCCTTTTTCTTCCATGATTATTAAAAATATGAAGAATAAATAAGTAAAGAAAGAATTGGCAATATAAAACAAGCACTGATCGAAAAAGGAAATATGGTAACGATTATTACATTAATCGCAAACTCTACCTTTCAGCTAGGAATCATACTCATATTAGTCATCGTAAATCAAACTTTTTCGTAAAAACTATGAAATGTATATCAATATGAAAGTATATAATCTTATATCGGTTTATGAACGATTGATTGTTTACATTCCCATTTTAACTTGCCTTATCTACGTCCATCATATTAAGTTTCAAGTTGTACGCATCTGTTGTGGAAATGGATTTGGAGAGTCGTTTCTTCAAATTGGAGTCGGAGCTGGGACTAGCGGCACTCATTTCATGGTGTTTATGCTTTAGCGTATGCTACAATGCTAAAATAATGAATGCTTTTCAACAATACTAAAACAAATGTTGAACTTGAAATGCAAATGTTGTTAAATTTTAGCTTCACAATGTGATAACAAATATATATTTCGGTATATGGATACCGAAACATTATTTTTTATCATATTGTGAGTACCTAAAATTGAACACTGGTTTTAACGTATTACAGTTCTGGGTTATCGGGTTGACACTGATAAGCTAGAACCGTTGGCAAATGCCCTCCGTCGGGCAAATCACGTTACAAATTTGCTCAGCAATGTGCAATGGTTATTTCAAAATAAAGATATTTTCTAAACTTATTTATTAGTAAATTTAAGAAATGGTTATCAAAAACCAAACACAAGACAGGTAAAATGAACCCTACAATTGAACCCGTTTTTAACGGTACCAGTATTTAGTTGGTTAATCATGAGTATAAAGGTACGTTAAAATACGGAATGTGCCCATGACTTACTGTTGCTCTGTTGCATGTTCGTGCTCAGCTCATTTCATAGATAAGACATTAGACACAGTGAGATAAAGTGGACTTCTAATTAATCTTTACATATAACATTGAAAAACGCCGTGGGTTTGAAACTAAAAGATCAGGTTTCCATATGATGATAAGACAAATCATGTTCATTGGCAGTTTCAATCGAATTTGGCTTCAGATGATTACAATAATTGGAGCATGCACGTAATCGATTGTCGTGTAATTTCATGACTCTTAATTCAATCTCGTATCATGGTTTAGGAGTTTACGACATGAGGTAGGTAAGATTCACCGAAAGATAAAATCTGAAGCTGGAAAAGTGCCAAAAATGTTTCAAAATTCTGCCAAAGTTTATCAAATTTATGCCAAGCAAAACAATAGAAATGAAGATTATCTCTTCGCAATGTCTAGTAGTTTTCTTAGAATTTCTTTCTATTCTTTTAATCTAATCGTCTTTTTATCTGCTGTCGCAATTGTTCATGAGTACATATAAAACTAGACAGATAAAAGTACGATAATGTATTTATGTATTGCTCACGTACTGCTACGAAATTGATAAGAATAATAAGGCTCACGATAATTTTAGAATTTTGTCATGTAATAAACTTTTGTACGCACACATTTTGCATAAGTTTAGTTATTTAACTGAAAGATATTGAAAATGTTTGAAATTGAAATTTTTAAATGGCCATTCTTACAAAAAGGAACATATAAAAGTACAAATACATAAAATACAAACATTTTTCATTACCAACCGAACAAGATAGAAATGTTTAGCGCTTGCGTGTCACTTTGAGAGTGCGACTTTAATTAGCATACAAATTTTCCAATTATTTCCAACCTTACTTTAATTGGACATACCGTTACCGACAGCACATCAGTTACTATTATTCCCAAAATTAGTAATTACATGTTTACTTATTTTTTTACAACTTTCTCATCATTCATGGACAAAAAAGACATGGTTGTACAGCTAAAAATGAACATTAAGCGCAAACCATGAGTACAGTACAGCAATTTAATCCCGTAGTCCCGTTGATTTAAATTTAGCATTATGACGAAGTAATTGGAATCAACTAACGTTTAAACCAGTAACGTCACACCTTTTCTTGAATTTATAACGTCACATATTTCTTATTGTCTTCTGTCGACCCTGCCTATTAATGGTTACATCACTCAAACATAATTCCTTTAACATTTCCTTAAAGTTCATTGTCCAATTATTTCTGTGAACTTTATCTAACCACTCCGTCTAAGGGCAAAGAGGAGACGTTAGAAATAGACGTGACCTGAAAAACATACCCAATAATCACACGTAATATTTTGATAACAGCTGTACCAATTTCTACACGTTTCCAGAATCGTCCCCCAAATATAAGGTCACATCAATCCTGTCATATCACAGGTAACGTGTAATATCACAGGTAACGTGTCATATCACAACAGATCTTGTTTCCCCTGCAGTATCTGGTTCAGGGGACAGTGCCAGGGTGCAGCCCTTCTTGTAAGCAGATCATTTCCCTCTTGTATTGTTTTAACTGGAGCTCAGGATCGCAATTGTAAGCTGGACCATAGCTCATTTATCATCAATAGACTCTTTGTCTAGGTCTCACTATACATTGCAACTCATGGTTTTTGCCACGGCAACACTAGTCATCAATAAGAATATACGAGAATTATAAAATATCTATTGTAATACAATTTAACCGGAGCGCTCATACAGGTAACTATAATCTAATAGGTATGTTGCCAGGGGAAACGTCTCCCACCATCCGACATAACAGAGTGGTATCACGAGGTCTAAACCTAGCACCTGAGAGAGAGAGAGGGAGAGAGAGAGAGAGAGAGAGAGAGAGAGAGAGAGAGAGAGAGAGAGAGAGAGAGAGAGAGAGAGAGAGAGAGAGAGAGAGAGAGAGAGAGAGAGAGAGAGAGAGAGAGAGAGAGAGAGAGAGAGAGAGAGAGAGAGAGAGAGAGAGAGAGAGAGAGAGAGAGAGAGAGAGAGAGAGAGAGAGAGAGAGAGAGAGAGAGAGAGAGAGAGAGAGAGAGAGAGAGAGAGAGAGAGAGAGAGAGAGAGAGAGAGAGAGAGAGAGAGAGAGAGAGAGAGAGAGAGAGAGAGAGAGAGAGAGAGAGAGAGAGAGAGAGAGAGAGAGAGAGAGAGAGAGAGAGAGAGAGAGAGAGAGAGAGAGAGAGAGAGAGAGAGAGAGAGAGAGAGGAGAGAGAGAGAGAGAGAGAGAGAGAGAGAGAGAGAGAGAGAGAGAGAGAGGGAGGATGTTGCCAGGGGAAACACTATCCGGATTCCGGACATAACAGTTCAGAGTTGGCTCACGGGGTCTAAACCTAGCACCTGTTGAAATAATGAGATGTGCAACATACCTGAAGTGATGGTGACAAATTACCAGGGATTTGATTTGTGAAAGTGGAGAGGTGCAGGTGCCAGTTCGTGTATATATGTGGGGAGGCAACTAGGGAGCATACCCAATTAAACAATTTTAATCGGTATTTGTGGTATTTTATGATTGCGATTGCCAGGTTGTAGTCGCATTTTTCCGTTCGGGCAGTATTGTTTTGTCATCGTTATGTTTGCGCGCTTAATGAAGTTACAAATCATAGTTTTACTGGTAAGAATATCGCTGATCTTGGTTTAGGCCATATGATATTATTTAGGTCATGATAATATTTCAATATTTCATCACAAAGGTTTCTATCGAAAACTAAATGGTCAATTTTTTTTGAAAACGTAGAATTTTGATTTTTGAATTGAGGCCGAATAGTTGTTCATCACTGATGACCTTCCTCAAATGGCAACAATCGGCTACCGACTAGTTCCAAATGTTTGTAACTTGAGCCTGATCTCAAGACTCGAATAGATTTTTTCCTTAATCTATTAGAATGCTAAATTATTAGCACGTACAACAAAATTACATCTAAAATATTGTCTTCCAAATTGATAAGATAATTATGTACTAGAATTGATCCAAACTTAAATATAATCAAAATGCGTTTTCGGTTTTACCATAACCAGTTCTATTTATTTGACCATTATATTCACCATACCACTCGTTTAATTTCAGATAAAGTTAACAATATCGGAGTACTTCTCAGATTAATCACTCGTTTGTTTTCAGATAAAGTTGACAATATCGGAGTACTTCTCAGATTTACCATTCGTTAATTTTCAGATAAAGTTGACAATTTCAGAGTACTTTTCAGATTAACCACTCGTTTGTTTTCAGATAAATTTAACAATATCGGAGTACTTTTCAGATCAACCACTCGTTTGTTTTCAGATAAAGTTAACAATATCGGAGTACTTTTCAGATTAACCACTCGTTCGTTTTCAGATAAAGTTAACAATATCGGCGTACTTCTCAGATCAACCACTCGTTTGTTTTCAGATAAAGTTAACAATATCGGAGTACTTCTCAGATCAACCACTCGTTTGTTTTCAGATAAAGTTAACAATATCGGAGTACTTCTCAGATCAACCACTCGTTTGTTTTCAGATAAAGTTAACAATATCGGAGTACTTCTCAAATAAACCACTCGTTTGTTTTCAGATAAAGTTTACAATATCGGAGTACTTCTCAGATCAACCACTCGTTTGTTTTCAGATAAAGTTAACAATATCGGAGTACTTCTCAGATCAACCACTCGTTTGTTTTCAGATAAAGTTAACAATATCGGAGTACTTTTCAGATCAACCACTCGTTTGTTTTCAGATAAAGTTAACAATATCGGAGTACTTCTCAGAACAACCACTCGTTTGTTTTCAGATAAAGTTAACAATATCGGAGTACTTCTCAAATCAACCACTCGTTTGTTTTCAGATAAAGTTAACAATATCAGAGTACTTTTCAGATTAACCACTCGTTTGTTTTCAGATAAAGTTAACAATATCGGAGTACTTCTCAGATCAACCACTCGTTTAATTTTAAATTAAGTTAACAATATCGGAGTACTTCTCAGATCAACCACTCGTTTGTTTTCAGATAAAGTTAACAATATCAGAGTACTTCTCAGATCAACCACTCGTTTGTTTTCAGATAAAGTCAACAATATCGGAGTACTTCTCAGATCAACCACTCGTTTGTTTTCAGATAAAGTTAACAATATCGGAGTACTTCTCAGATCAACCACTCGTTTGTTTTCAGATAAAGTTGACAATTTCAGAGTACTTCTCAGATTTACCATTCGTTAATTTTCAGATAAAGTTAACAATATCGGAGTACTTCTCAGATTTACCATTCGTTAATTTTCAGATAAAGTTGACAATTTCAGAGTACTTTTCAGATTAACCACTCGTTTGTTTTCAGATAAATTTAACAATATCGGAGTACTTTTCAGATCAACCACTCGTTTGTTTTCAGATAAAGTTAACAATATCGGAGTACTTCTCAGATCAACCACTCGTTTGTTTTCAGATAAAGTTAACAATATC